TGTTTCTTCATTCAAATTTACTTAATTGAAATTCTCGTCTATTGATGTTATGGAATTTTCTCAAGTAACTACTACTTTTAATTAAAAATCAATCAACATTGCTCTGTACTTCCTCACTGCAAGGGCTCAGGCCTTCCTTATGCATGGTTAAGTAGTATGGGCCATGACCCTCCACGCTGGCCTAATGCGGATTGGAGGGTATTACCTACTGCAAATGCAGCAGGTACTAACGGCGTAACTTGCCTTACGAAGCACGGAGTAAATGGAGATATTTTTGGTCACCCATCCTGTGATTGAGCCTTGCGAACGTTGCTTAACAATAACGATCGCAGGCCGCGGCGCTTATGCACTACGCCATCGAGCTACTTTCGATTAAAAATCAATAAACAATATTATCAGTTTTAACAATAGACGATTAATGTTCTGTTCTAATTGCAAATGTAACTGCACAAAGGTTTAACAAGTACACGACTTGTATTCAAGGTAATCCGGATATGCATTGCAATAGCAGATAAAGGATATTAACTCAGAGCTGATCGATCTGCTGAACTAGATGGCAACATTTAGGTCACGCAGGAGTTTTGTTACTTTTTACGCACATTCAATAAATTTGTTGGTATGGTCCGTATTTTAGTTAGTTTAATTTGGTGTTCTTTTGCATACGACCGACCCAATTTTAATTAATAATCTACCTTTGATCCATAACTGAAAACATGGATTTCATTGAACTAAAGAGTAATTAAAATTCATCAATATTGTAATACAATTTAATTATTTGACTTAAACCATTTTGATTTTCCTTAAACTTTTCAAATGAAATAGCTATTCCAAACTTCTATTACTTATTACGTACAAGAAAAGAATCTACTCCATTATTTGGGTTATCCAGTATGCTTAGAAATCTGCCGAAATATATTCCAACTTTCCAAAATTTTTCTTCATTTTAATTATTTTCTTTTTAAATTATTTTTTATATAAATGAAAATAAATATAATGTTTATTTGCATTCCAAGAATACACTATGTCGTGTTTTCTCACTAATCTCTTTAATTAGAGTTTACTGTAAAAAATATCGATATTTTCAACATCGAGTTGGCTTCGTGACGAGATGAAGATTATAATTATACATGCGACGGACGATACATAGAATAGGGATGACCACTTGGTAAAAAAAAGAAATTCTATTTAGCCCACCAGTCATATAATAAAAAATTAGTTACGAAATTTTTTTACTTAAACTTAGGAAATATATAACAGATATTAAAGTTGAGAAGTGGGATCTAGCGAGTCACAGTTTTATACAAAATGTACCAAAGCGTGACGTCATGTGATATTGTAACTCATTTTATCTGCGTTATTTAATGATTACTAAAAAAGATGCGTGTTTTATATTTTTCAACAATCTAGCTGACGATATCCCAATTAAAAATATCTATAATTATTTTCAGTAAATTTTGTATTCATAATGCTAACATTTCTTAATATTTTGAATGTAAGGATGTAAGTGAAAGGAAACAATGATAATTTCTTTGGGTATACTATTTCTATTAAATATTTTTAAGAGTCCATTTTAAATATTGATTTCTTATATTTTCACGTACACTATCCATAAATAAAACAACTTTTAATCGGTTTCATCGAGTTTGTATTTAGTTTTATTGACGTTTCGAACCTTTTACAGGATATAAACGCAATGAAAATTGATTCAACGTATCTTATCTATATATATATATATATATCGCTTCGGTCTGCGCTGTGGATGTTGAGTTTCCCAACAGCCGGTTATAGGATGGGTGACTAAAAATTACTATTATATAAAGTCATAGGCCCTGTGTCCCGATTACATTAAATATGCTGGTAATGACTTGATTTGACAGTGGATAAAAAATAACATTTTGGTATTATTTACAATAGCGTGTGTCTCGATATAACTACTTACGGTTTCTACGATATAATAGTTTCTAACTGACTTCAAAAAAGGTGGTTCCCAATTCAACTGAATATTTTTCTTTTTAATTCACTTTTATTTATAGTAATACTTAGTTAGTCAAATATTTTTAGTTGATAATTGAAGTTCTTTATATAATAAACTATTGTTTAAAATGAAAAATGATAAAAGGAACCTAAAGATGATTTTAAAATACCTATTCAACGACACCCCACTTGACAATATGGCGTCTGGTTGTCGGTGTGGTGAATTTTGATTACTGTCATGTCTTTAGTGACACTCGCAAGATTAAGACGAATCGATTGACATAAGAATCATCAAAATCGACCTACGCATTTGGAACGCCACATAGAAACAAGCATACATACATAGACTGATAAACACATTACCCTCCCTTGCGTCGCGCAGTCGGGTAAATACAATAATATCCTACGCAGGCATTACATGGTTTAGCAGTCAAACGATGGTCTCATATTTCACTGACTATTGAATTACTCATTGACGTGTTGAAATATCTAAATTAGAAACGCTTGTACTTTTGCCCTACACTAGTATCAGATTACAGACTATGCAGCTGGTAGAAACAATTTGTTTTCTTCAGTCATTACCCAGCCGGTCATGGCTTAATCATTCAATTTGTATTGTGTCTTAGAATTAAAACAATAAGTGTTAAAAAGAAATATAGAGAAGCTTAACTAGCTCTTGAGTAGTTAAAAACTGTAGGTAATAGAATATCTGCTTTGGTATTCAATAAGAAAATTAGCCTGGAACTCGATGTCGAGGATAGCGCTGTCATAGCATAGAGGTTTCATAAAATAAAAACTACTTCGAAATGTAATACTTTTATTTCATACTATAACAGCGCGATTTCAAGACTGATTTTATTAGGTACGTAATAGCATAACTAGTTATTAAAAAACCGGCTAAGCGCGAATCGAAAACTCCATTAAAAAAATAAAAAAACTAAAAAATTTTTTTTCAACTTATAAAGCCAAATGAATTGTTAATAGTTTTCCTTTTGATTTCGTTATATATAGGTACTATTGGCGTAACGCTTGAATTTTTACCAAAGATCGTTTAATTTGTAGAGAGGGGTACACTTGACTCTAACGAAAATTAGCTCTTTAAAGCGGCCTTCCAAAACCCCTAATGTTTTTGAAAGATCATCCAAGGATGCACCACACTATGGGTAAGACGAAATGAATTATCATCCCCACTTTACACGTATTTATTTACTGCATGTCACAAAGTACAAAATTGTGATATAAGCATACAAATAATGTGATAACCTACAAGGGTGTAGCAATTCTATGTAGCTTTCATAATTAAACAATAAAATATAATAACAGCACTGTCATTAACGACAAAAATACATTAAAATAAATAAATAAATAAATTACAAAATTCCTTTTTACAGAAAATTTATAAATGCATTAGATCAATTAATATTATTATATCATTTGATCATAAAATGGTACAATAATTTGTTAAAATAGAATTTACAGTCGGATAGTTTACGATGTGCCTTTTTTACTATTTACGAGTGTCTTGTTCGTTTTAAATAATATTGTTATTTTTTTTATTTTAGTTGACCACATTGTCGACGTAATTTACGTGTATACTCATGCCAGATTTCAACTTTCTAGTACCAATAATTATTAAGCTATTATATAGAATACTAGCTTTCGCCAGCGGCTTCGCCCGCGTGGACCCTAGGGAAATGTTAAGTGGGATAAAAAGTATCCTATTATCTAAGTCAGCTAATACCCTATCAGTATACCAAATTTCATTAAAATCCGTTCAGTAGTTTCGGCGTGATTGACCGACAAACATCCAAACAAAGAAACTCACATTTATAATATTAATAGGATATAGAAACTATTAGGGTTCCTTGTTCCTAAAAACTGCCAAAATTCTTCTTTTGGTTATATAACTCATACGAATTAATATGACACAGTAATTCTGTAATTTTCGAAATGTTCATAAAATATTGTGTAAAATCAAATCCGTCAAGATTATCTATGCATAAAAGACACTGAGCTCCTACGACCGCTGCATCATAAATTAGCGGAAAACGCGTTTATTTGGCATCATATAAGCGCTTCGCAAACAGACGAAATTTCGTTTTCGGATAATTAGAGTAGGCCTTCATTCGAAACTGTCAAACTTCTACAATTTGTTACGAGTTACATCTCCTAATTAAATGTTAAGACATGGGTCGGTGCAAATCACCCAGAAGTATATGTTAGTACGCGACGGAATTTTCGTCGACTGTCCATGTACAACTGTCATAGCATATGACAGTTCTGATGTTCCACGACCATTTTACGTAGGTAGATACGCACCAACCCTAAAGTGCTGTTATAGTAAAAACCTTAGTTAAACATTAATGGGAATTAATTAAAGACATTATCTAAACTACAGAATACGCTCGCTCATTATTATTTGTAAATATGAAAATTTCATTATGGTAGCTCACACAAACCATCAGTAATATTCTGTAAAAAATCTACGTTAAACTTTAAATCTAGCACAGCCCTATCTTAACATCAAGATTCAATGAAATTACACCTACTTCAAACCTACTAATAGAGGTATTATTTAATGAAATAATTGTAACAGTGCGTTGTAATAGCGAAGAGCTTCAATGGAATGTCTTCGCTGTTCCAATGCACTGTTACGTCGAATTTTCTGCTGATTCTATTACAGAATAACATAACTGTTTCTATCTTTTTTTTTACGTCGAGGAAATGCATTAGGCACTACCCCTGCTACCTGGCAAGCGACAGGGGGTGTATGAAACTCTCCTTCGCGAACCCACTAGTGACTAGCCGCGCGGTGGGTTCCCGATGGTCTATCCACAACACCCCTACGGATAACATATATTGATGACATTTATCTATTTATAATAAATCAATGGACTTGTACAGAAACTCTCAAAGGTCTTACGAAGCAGAACGATGCTATATACATACACGTAGGTATAAATTTTATCACAAACAGCAACGTTTATGTGAAAAATAAGGTTACAAAGGAGTTAACATCTTTTCAGCTGGCGGACGAGTTGCCAGCTCAGCTGTCCGAGCTGGGACTGCGCTCTCACAAGATGCCTCAACCAGGATACACCATACAAAGAGTGACCGTTGAAGATAAGCAAAAGGCGTTGGACTTTCTGACCAGGTGATTTCTACGGTTGCGAACGTTAAACAAATATAAATACTATAGATTACCTTTTTTCCGCTACTTCGTAAGCTTTAATCATAGCCAATGTCACCCATTTATAAGGTGAAACAATTTTCTTGGTCGAACCAGTATTTCCAAAGATTACTTCCAAATTAACAGAGTTAGAAATGTTACCTCTCTATGATATTATCGCACGTTGAGAACGATAGTGACACAATGCAAAAAATGCGATTTTGAGTAATGAGCGTTTAAAGTTCAAGAAATTGTAAGCAGCCCCTCTTAACAACGTATCGCCACTACGCCATCTAGCAGTTTCTACGCAAGCTACGTTCACAGGGATCTTTGCATTTTAAAGCTTATACTTAACAAAGAAAAATGTTGCCAAAAGTAAAAAATACGTCGTTTTTGGTTAGTGACATTGTCATTCTCAACGAGCGTTATAGTATAGGTCTTCGAGCTGCACCGTGTAATTATGAATGTATAGGTATAAGTTATGAAGGGGGCTAATTTTAAAATCTATATCAATTCAATTTGACATTCAAAAGATATTCACGAACTTCACCCTACAACTATTTGAAATGTGATTGCGATTGCGAACTCGATGTTATTTGAAAAATATTGCATGAGCTTTATTGTTAATTTAACGTTAATTGGTATTATCTAAGTGAAGCGTAAGACGCAAATATTACTTTGAAAGTTACTGAGAAATTATCGTACAAGCAAAAGAGTTGAATACTAACTGCAAACTCTCGACTCATTTAACTAATATTATAATTATTCGTTCCTAAAGCGATTACAACTTCAAAAGAGACATATGTAATTCCATAAATGACTACCACAATCACTTCTGACAGAGACTGCATTCGATTTCAAAATAAGCCAATGAGCCCTCAGTTTATCTAAGCAATAAGTTTTTAAATCCAATTCGATTAATTTTTAATGTTAGGGTGGTCAATGAAATAAGATACTATCGCCTAATAAGGCCCACCATGCCTGGACGGCTAAAAAGTCTATTAGAATAAGTTTTAACTACAGACTGCTACAGGACAGACCCACACGTAATGTCCAATAAGGACGGAAAATGTATTTAATTTAAAACCTATTCCAGTTTCAATTTAAGACAACAGCGGTCAAAAATCATTAGATGACAACACCTTATAATTATTTAAAATTTAAATCTAAATAATTTCGTTTATAATATTAATGTTTCTTTAGAATCGTTATAAAAATCTTTGTAAAACACGGAAATTATAAATTATAAGGCGGTAGTCTAGGTGTGTGTAGGTTTCTCTAGATATAGTGATATAATAATATGTGCTAGACAGGAAATGCACTGATATAGTGATAGGTAATTCATTAGCTCAGACAAGTCTAGCTCATGACCTTCATCATAATTAGCTTCATAAATGCAAATAGTATAATATTATAATTATGAAACTAAGCCTGTAACTAAATCGATTGACATTACAATGTAATCTATATAAGAACACTAACTTTTATATCAGCTGTTAAGTCAATGACGAATGGATTTTTTACATTTGCAATTAGGAGAATGAACCTAAAAACATAGGTTAACTATTACAGGTTACCCAGAGCATAAACCATTTTACCATCGCATTCTATCTATGAAAGAAAATTGACCCGACCGAGGATTGAATCTTAGACCTAAAAGAGGGCGACACCTTGAAACCGGTGTGCGAACCACACGGCTACGGAATTTGTCTTGAAATTGACGAATTCGATCATTATTGGCTTAACAAATTGACCGTAAAAGAGTAAAAATCAAACTTCGTAAACTATAATAACTAATAATATAACATTAATATGCTTCTGAAAATTTCCATCAATCTTAAAAATCTAATTTTCTTCGTTTTTTCTCCGTGTAGATTTTTCTTCCGTGATGAACCGATGAACTCGGCGGTGAACCTACTGGCGACACCAGAGTCACGTTGCGAAGAGTTGGAGGAGTACGCTGCGACTACCCTCGAACAGGATTGTTCAGTAGCAGCTGTGGATAGCAACGACGAATTCGTAGGACTAATCATCAACGGATTCGTTACTCGAGAGGTAAGCAATAATATATTTATATTCTCCATCGTCGGCAACGGCTAATACTCCATTCTCTGCTGCAGAGAATAACTACCTAACTCTAACAACAGCTATAAAAAGATTTTATTAATGAGTCTGTTGGTATTCTTTTATAATTAAATGTTTTCTTTATTATCCATATAGTTAAACAAACATTTTGGTTTATTTTTCCTTTCGTCTAAATTCTCCTTTTTTTTAAATTTAATATATCTGTACTAATTCTGTAAACTAAAACCATTGAAACAAGTATATTATAAAAAAATATAAATAAAACATTTTTATAACTATGGCTAGAGTTATATATAGCAAGAGCGGTGGCCGCTTTGCCCGTGCACTTTTTTTTTTTTTTTTGTATATTTGCAAAGGATCTGAAAAGCATAAAATTAAGAAATCTTTTGAATTGAAATTGATTGAAAATTGAATGTGGTTTTATAAGAATATATTTTTAAGAAAAATAAAAAAATGACTGTTGTTTCCTTATTTATATAATAGCTTGTTGGAAATTTTAATAGAAAAAGAAAATTTTGCAAAAAAGGTATCTCTCGTCAATACAAACTACATAATAATAAAAAAATTGCGACTTTATATATCTAAAAATAACAATGTATATAACCTTTACATATTACAAACAAAAACTAGTAGCTTTAAAATTACTCTTAAATCTTTTTTAAGCATAATCCTTTTTATTTCATAAAAGAATTTCCGACGATATCTTTAAGCGTATCTACTTTCATGTCATGATGAAATTTAATTTTGAATCAGTTATAACGTTCTGTAAGATTTATTTTGTTTCAATTGTATTGTTTCTACAATTAATGCGATATTAGCGACTTGCTTTCGCCTTCTTATTAACTAGATCCTTTTATGGATACAATGAATGTGTCCAGTCTACATTGATGTGTATTGAAAGATAATTACAATCTTACTTCCGGGCAGGTGTCGATATCGCAGTAAGGTAACGCTACAGGCTTAGGTTTTTAATTAACCAACAATATGTACCAAAGGCGTGTTAGTGATTATAAATTAATATTTTTGATATAACCACAACATCTAGCTCAGTATACAATATTGTAAAACCTTTGAAATAGGTTACATAATGCTTCAACCTTTTTAGATAATTCCACAAGTATTCCATAGCATATTGTTTTGGAATATTTGCACTGGGAACTTAAATATAATATATCTGTGTGTTTATCTTTGATTTATTTTGTGGAATGTATTTTTTACGTAAGTACGTTTGTTATATCTTTGCCGTTCGTTCGCTCAATTTGTATACGGCTTATCATATTTTTTAACTACACTAACTACACCCTTAAAACCTGTTTTTTCATAAATAGGACTTCACAAACGTGAAAGTTCATGAAGTCTTTGAACATTAACAACCTACACAAATTTCGTGAACACACAGCCGCCTTTAAAATGAATATTATGTATCACGTAGCAGAAAGGAAACAAGATAGAAGGGCTAACTTGGTCTTGAAACTTAATTAAATAAGGTAAACAAATTTTATATTTAATAATAATAATATTCTAGTAAAAAATGAGTAATATATAACTCATAAAGTAAAACCCTGAGAAATTCTATTTTGCCGTCTAGATGAGGGAAAGATTAAAGGCAATTTGGAATATATAACATTGAAGTTTTGCAATTAATACTTAAAATTCGACAGACATCGTTATCAGTCTTCTGTAGCTGATTTTATGTATTTTTCTTCGAGAAACTGAGAAATAATTATTAATTTACCTTTCTTTGTTATTTTCCGTTCTCCCTTTCCTTAATTATATCCTTTTGTTTTTACAGTAGTCATTTTAACCTTTGTTATCGTATAAGTTTAACTTTTTTACTCCTTCCATTTTTCCCTCAACTTCAAATTTCCATTTTGCCCCTACGCTGGTATTATAATTACATTAACATATCTTTAACTTAACGAATATTTAGCTTTGATTATTGTATCAATTTGCACACCCTATTTGTAGTATCATATATTTTGTCTATTATATCTTGACCTCCCTATTTCATAAACAGTATTTCTTTTTCAAAAATTTTTACGAGTTACTTTTGAGCCGGCCTTATGTATGCCTAGTTTAACATGATGATTTAAAACTAATCAAGGGCATTCTAAGAAGGGGTCACGCTTGATCATTCGATGTGCTCCATTGACTAATCCAATGTAACGAATGCTTTTAGTATAAACTTACAAACAGATTATATAAAAAAAAAAAACAGATTAAGAATTATATCTAGTAAGAAATGCTGACTAATCTTCAGTACTCTTAGAGGTACCCCATCTTACCAGTTGAATCTAATTTAAACTTCAATGAACTCATTTACTACCGATGAACTACCTATTTTTTTATTTGCTGAGTTTAAAAAAGGAGGATATCTATTTTTAATATTTATTTATTAAACAATTGCGTTCAAAATATCTGTATTTGATAAATTTTGAATTCACAATGCAATACTGAAAAATATTCTTAACTAAAAATGAAAAATTCTTAATGAAAATTGTGTTTTGTTTACAAAAATCATATTTATTGTTTTAGTCTATTGAAAATTAATAAGTCTACACAAAATATTGATATGTTTAAGAAGGCCAAAACCTATTACAATGAAATAATTAGATAAAAAAGTGTAAATGTTTAATTTTTCTGAAAAACAAATTACTGCGTCATATTTAAAATTAAATGATATTATATGCCAGGGACATAGTGGATTTTTAAACATTTTCCATTAAGAAAATTTTTCAGTATAGTTTGATCAAATATAATAATTAAATAATATTCTCTCTTTTTCTATGTGAAACGAAATAATATTGGCTTATTTTACAATAATAATGACATTTGAGTAATCAATGAAAAGTAATTTTAATTATTTTTACAATTTCATATAGCTTTATATACTATTCTGCATTATATAATCAAAGTATTAGAGGTTCAATCATATTGAACTTTCATCCTTTTGAAATAGGTTTTATATTATCGAACCTCTACGTTTTAACAGCGCTGGGCTCGTGGTCGAGTTCGTGGCTGTTTATAACATTGACTAAATTTGTTTTTTGCTTTACGTCAAGTAGTTTATAGAAAAATATTAAACCATTTTTTTTTAACTTTTTGCGTAAACATTGAGTTAAAATGTTACACGACGTCACGCTTTTTGCTTCATTTTCTTTTTAATTCATTTCCTGCAAATCTGTGATGTAGTGAGCCCCCACTCCTCAACATTAATGCCTGTTATCTAAGCTATTTCTTGTTAAATTGAAATAAAAAAAAATGCGTATTATACATTTTTCTATAGTCTGATTGAGGCTTAAAAATAATTTCTTTTTTTTTACCCAGACCTAGATGTGGATAAATCATTCATCAAAGGTTGATAGACATTTTTAATCTTTTTATTATTTAGTTTCTAATGATCACTAACACTTCTTGGTACTCTTTGATTCAGGAAGTAGACTACACCGACAAATCAGAAGACTGCCCAAATCCAAAGTTCAGGCGGATCCTGAAAGTACTCGGACATCTGGACCGCGAAGCCAAAATCTGGGAGAAACTCCCCGAGACTTGCGACAAAGTCATGGAAGTGAGGATCGCATCAACAGATTCCGCGTGGAGGGGACGGGGCCTCATGAGGGTGCTGTGCGAGGAATCTGAGTGAGTGATATGTTTTTGTGTTTCTTTAAAAAAACATACGACTGCCAAAATCAACCTAATGATAAAAGGAACAAGTTGTATTATGGCTTGTATAAACAAATCTCATTAAAATCGGGATACCTGAAAGATTTTTAACTTAACATATATTTGTATTTTATTCTTTTTAGTGGCGAGTAATTGTACACAAAGTATATATTTTTGGAAAGCTCCTATCAAGACCTTTAATTTAGTATCCATATTGTTATAAATGTAGAAATATTATATTCTCATATTTTTAAATGACGTCATACATCCGCAATACTGTATAATTAACATAATATAGTTAAAATAAAAGTTCTGTACAGATTTTGGCTATGATTGTAAGCGTAATGTAAACGATGTGATTTCGTAGACGTCTTATAAAAAAACCGGGCAAGTGCGAGTCTATAATGGATAATAGTTCCGTACTATTATCCATAATAATATTATTATCCATAAAAAGAAATAATCGCATTATTGTTTTCTATGTAGTTGTTCGAAATTTTCGAGCTAAATACAAATGGTCTTGTAAAGCCAACTGAAGTGTGATACTTTTCCTTTTAACTTCAATTAATATAAGTACTGCCGTAACGTTTAAATTTTTACCAACGACCGTTTAGTTGGTAGAGGGGGGGATATTTAACGCAAGCGAAAATTAGCACTTTATAGCTTAATTTGTCACTATAAACAATTTACTAAATTGAAAACAACTTTACCACACCCCTAATGTTTTTGAAAGACCTACCCAATAATGCCTCATGCCAAACAATAATAATAAAAAGTTTATTTCCCACATTGTTGCACAGTATTATACAAAAGCAATAACGACATCATTAAAAAGAAACTATATTGGCCAATAAGCTGTGCCACAGTGGAGAAAAAGTCCCCGGCTCAGCATATATCACGACGACAAAAATCTTATCGTCATGACGCTGATTTTCAGACGGAGGCTAATAGTTGCGCGTGAGTTGTTATTTATAAGACTAAAGTATGTTAAAGCGTCGCAGCGTAAAAAGCAGAAAATAAGAATATCCCAAGTGAAATTTTCTAAATGTGTGTTGTGTATTATGATTTAGAAATTGTCCAATACAATCGAAATAACAAACAAAATAATACATAAAATAACAAATTAAATTAATTTTTAAATATCCATTTGAATCATATCACAAATTCATTCAAATTATAAATAAAATTTCACAAAACTATTGATGATAAGTTACGGTATATGACAGCCTTCTATGTTGCATTGACTATTAAGGAAATGCTTCTTAAGCCCAGTTTTAAAAGCAAACTTAGACTTAGCCTGTCTAATTGGTGGTGGTAATTACAACTCTCTAGTACCAATAGTTTTTCAGCTAAGCCGCAGACGGACAGACAGACATGGTGAAACTATAAGGGTTCCTGATTTACTACGAAACCCTAAAAACGACAAAAATCCCATTACGCGATGCTTTCAATCTGTTCCAACGTTTTCGAACCTTTTCTAGTTCACGGACCCTTAGGGAATCAAGTACAAATTTATGAGATCCGCTAGGTGAAAAAAGTACATTTTTTATATAGGGCATTACATAAAATAACACGTTAATATGAATAATGTTGATTTTTTTCAACTAAATCGGCGATATTTGAGTTAATGGTGCTTTGAATTGTAATTTCTGCGGCCGCACATGAGCCACCAGAAGACCCTGTGAACTATAAAAATACTCAATAACACATGACCAATGGTGAGGCTAAATGTCATAGCTGCCCCAATCTCCTTGGAAGTAAATAGTTTTGCAAGTTCTATCAAAAGGTATCAGCCTAACGCACCTTTTTTGTTTTGATTGACCCAGGTTAACCTTATATTATTGTCAGTTGGGCTGATAAAATAACCGTGTGTGAGATTGTTAGTGAAAAGAGTGTTTTTTTTCGTTATTGTCTGTAAGCGTACCTTAACAAAAATATATTTTAAAAAATTGCCAAATTAATCCAGCCAAGAAGTAAGTATTTGGATTCAGTTGTTCTCGAATTTTACATCTAGTGCATTTGACTAACTTGATCAGGTAGGTAATGCCTTAAACATTCACTTTCTCCTTGGCACTCTGAGATGTGACTCGAACCCATGACCTTTTTCAATCTGGCCGGCTACTCTTATCACTGAGCTACCCAGGACCTAATACGACTGACGAATCTTTCAAGCGCTTGTTCAGACAATCCAACCAAACAGCCGAAAGAAATATTTTTACAAATATTCAAACTTTCGGTGAATATGAAAATTTATTTTTCCATTCACAATGCTATACTGAAAAGTATTCTTAATGAAATATACTTAAAAAAATCCACTTTGTCCTTAGACCCATCATATCTATATAACGATTATAGTATTTTACAGTCAATCATTTTACAATTATGTACTTACTTAATTTTATAATCATTTACACTGAATAATGTTTCATGTCTGTGATTGCATTATGTTAAAACGATGTGCCAGTTTTAGTTCACCGATTATATTCAATTGTGCTGTGTGTCACTTTTTAAAACTCATTTTACGAAAATAAACTCATTTTAGTTTTGATTTGTTTTAACATTATCCCACAGTCTAAAATAATCAAAGGAATATAAAAAAATATATAAATATAATATATAAAATATCGCTGTATGCCATTCAAAAAAAACTTCTGTTACCTTGTGAATACGCCATTTGACAAAATTATAACTATAATAGGTTAGTGTAACAAAATTTCCTACCAATAAATCACACTTAGGACATAATTAATACAAGTACAAGCATTAATTCCATACTATATAAGATACCGATATAAACACAAAATTCAATCACCACCAGCCCTTTTACGTCCCCACTGCAGAGGCTCAGGCCTTGCTTATGGTTGGTTAAGGAGGATGGGCCATGACCCTCCACGCTGGCCCAATGCGGATTGGTAGGTATTAACGACTGCAAATGCAGCCGGGACCAACGGCTTAACGTGCCTTCCGAAGCACGGAGTAGCTCGAGATAATAATTTTTTTTGGCCACCCATCCCGTAACCGACCCTTGCGAAAGTTGCTTAACGACTACGATCGCGGGCCGCGGCGCTTATCCACTACGCCACCGAGCTACTCAATATTCAATATTGTTTATTTATTTATTAACACTTCTTTGTTTAACTTAAGTCTATATTAACTTTATTCTACAGTCTGGGTCAAGTCTAAGTAACTTATTTCTACAGTCTGGGTTGTTATAAGCGCCTGTAACACCCGGTTTCTGAATTAAGTACCTACCTATTTAAAGTTAAGCATGTCTCAAACTGTACTTATACGTCATTTATACGGTTTTCGTTTCTGTTCTTGATCATTTGAGAATTATTTGATAAAAATAGGACGAACTAGGACAACTTGAGACTCTGTACTTTCGTAAATTTTAGCGTATGATGTAGCTTCCGCTTCCCGTAGGTAAAAGAATTTTCATTATCGGATCAGTATTTCCGAACAAACTAACATAGAAACTTAACCTCTTTACTATATAAGTATAACTTTCATTGTCTATGTTATCGATAGTGTCATTAGAAAAATAATAAAAATGTTTAGGTCACGTTTTATGCTAAATTAACATTCTAAAATTATAATCAAACATATACTAGCATATAACGAATATATTCATAATTCTATTTTGGACATGAACAAAAACTTTGATTGACTTCGCTAACGCGGAAATCTAAGTGACAGAAAAAAAATATCGGCAAACTGTTTAATCTAGTATATGTAACACAATCGACATTTGTTCCTTGATGTACTTACATAACGTAAAAACTGTTGTAAACTTATCAAAAGTATTAAATAACTTGGGGATCTAGAGGCCAATTCTACTATATAAATTTTGTTTAAATCGAATCGAAAACGGATCGAAACCGAACGAAACTACAGTTTTTCGATTTGATTTAAACAAAATTTATTTAGTAGAATTGGCCCCCAAGTGTACCTCTTACGGCCCGATTTGTATGGTAGAAGAAATGCCGTTCCCATTATTTTCCTCTTTGAATATAGGTATTTATGATCAAGAATTACCTTTAAAATTTCCCATTTTAGGATTCAGTACCATAATGCTCTTCTTGTCAGTCAAAAGTTGTACTGAACTAGTGGTAGTGAAAAAAGTATCCAGCACCGAGCTTATTACTTACTATAATATCAGCGAATGTTACAATAGACGAGTTGGTTCAGCCGCGATTCCCCAGCGCTTAGCAACTAATTTTTTTTTATTAGATGTAAGTGGAAGACATTTGTCATCATTTGCTTGCCCTTGTCCCAATTGTTAATTTAGACTCGGCGGCAAATGTATTCTTCTTTCATACTTCACGATCAACCATCATCTGAACATGAATACTCATTATTTAAAATGAAAAATCCCTTGCTTTACTTTTATTTTTGAATCGACCAAAATCTTTTCTATACTACTCGTTCAGGACGTCTTTTGGCTGACATAAAAATTAGCTTCAATTTAAATTTTTTTTTTGCTTCAATTTAATAAGAATTGGCTTAGATAATAGGCATAATAGGCAATAAAGTTATGGAGTGTGGGCTCGCTACTTCACAACAATGTAGAAAATGTACAAAGGTGTGATGTCTCGCGACATTTCTACTCAATCATAGGCCGCAATTTATTGATTGCGCAAAAAATAAAAAATACGCCACGGACGGACAAACAAAAATTAGTCATCACCCCCATTAGAGGAATCAATACTACTTTCTTCTTCTAAAATAAAATACATCATCATAAGCCCTTTTACGTCTCTCTCTGCAGAGGCTTCAGACCTTTCTTATGAATGCTTAAGGAAGATGGGCCATGGCCCTATGACACTTAGAGGGGTATTAAGGACTGCAAATGCAGCCAGGACCAAAGGATTAATATCCCTTCCGAAGCACGGAGTAGCTCGAGATAATAATTTTAGTCACGCATCCTGTGACCAACCCTTGCAAAAGTAGCTTAACAAAAACGATCGCGAGCCGCGGCGCATATCCAGTACCCAACCGAGCATTTACATTTACGAGGAATCGTAAGGAATTCTCGCGTGTTGACCGGAGTCCTTCACTGTGTCTATGTCATAATAGTTCATAACAAATTGCATAACTCGCAGCCTCATTAAGACCGTTGCTGTACGCAGTTATATTGTCTCATTGTTATTGTGACGCGTATTAGTTTGTAGCTGTATAACGGTCGTGAGCTGGAAACAGCTGACACTAACAAGTTAATAGATAATTATTATAACAACTTAATTTATTGCTGTTCAGTATTTTTTACCGATTATTTTTCACTTTTAAAAAGTGAAAAATAATACTTATCGATTGTTATACTAGTCGGGTGACTATCATTTAATTAATAATCTACAGAAAATAGCAGTTTTTTAAATAAGTAGTTTTTAAAATATATTTTTACTTTTTCAAAGTTTAAAGTCGGTTATATTTTTTGAAAAGAGTAGGTTATGCGTTTTTAGTTCAATCAGTTCATATCAGTTTTAGTTCTTTCAGTTCGGAGAACCAAGTGATAAGGATTTCGTATTTTGGCACGGAACCCTAAAAATTCCGAATTAATAATAATTACGATCCACGGTTGGATGGAATTATGCAACAAGGAAGCTCTCGGGGAATGTCATATCATGTCAAAATTACACTTTTATGAAGACCTAAATTCAAACGTAATTGTTTCCTAGTCATTAAATAAAAAATGAAATAGAGATTATGCCAAAGGCGGAAGAATGCATTGTTATTCCATTACAAGTACATAGTACTTAGTATACCTATACAGACCGACGAGACCGTGCGTAAAAAAAATTAATTACAGACTTATTTTTTCTGTCGACTCCCATTTGTAATGACAGGTTGATAACTCGTCACTTGTTCCTGGTTGATAAAGAAATATTTTCAATTTATAAATATAAATAAACTAGTTGTTTTAACGCGAGTACGCCCACATATTTTATAGCTTACGATAGTCCCGTAGCTGAAAAAATTTTCATGACACCTACGACACGTTAGCGATGGCGTAGCACTATTTCATTTCATTTTACTACCTTGACATGTACTTGAATGATAAAAAATTGCAAATATGGATTTCACAGAAATTTTTCCAACTTTCAGTTATTTATTTCAAATTTATCCACATTAAGACATGTAAAAGTAGTAAAATGAAATGAAATATCATCATAACATTAGCTAATTTGGCGTATCCTATGGCTAGAGTTACAGCACCTGACCACGTCACTGGGTACTGAGTGATCCCATAGTACTTCAACATACTGAAATATGAATCTTTAGAAAGCACATTACTCTCACGAGCTCTCCGTCTATAAAGTTATGCATTATGATTGTTCTATTGCCATGGCTATAACTTTGAATTAGGTATGTCGATCCCCTCTTGATACCTTCCTTTGTTATTAACACCTTTATTTATAAATTGTTTTGCTCAATAAAGAATTGGATTGGAAAGTTCAAAAGCTGCTTATAAAAACCTGACGTGCCTATAATTAATCTTAGTAAGTAACAGGTGCTTGCACTTGATATTCAAAAGCACAAGTTCAAGGAAATCGTTATAAACCGATTAAATATTAATGTCAATCAAGAAACAAAGTCAAGTTCAATGCACCGTACACGTATGTACCTACTTGCTTCACTTTTTCCTTTGCCTTTGCCAAATAGTACTTCTGTATGTATAGGTAGATATATATAGATGCCACGTCTATTTCATTAAAATAAAGCATTTTATTTTTTTATTGGCGCAGAGGTTTTAATAAAGGTTAGGTTGCCAACTGTAAAATATTAAATACGACAAGGAGCTCCAAAACCTCGGAAATTTTAACTGACTCCAAAAAAGGAGGAGGTTCTCAATTGGACGGTATTTTTTTTTTCTGTTTGTTACCTCAAAACTTTATACAGGGTGAACCGATCCTATCGATTTTTTTTTTTCATTTGAAAGCTGGTGCTTTCGTTATGGTCCCATTTCAATTTTCAGCATAGTATTTGTCAGACTTAGGAGAAGGTTTTAGGTATATTAACAGACTAAAAAATGGAGGTTCGCATTTTAAGGGAGCCGGGCACCTATAAATTATTTAATAACCTACAGAAAACCTCCGCCCGACTTTAATAGCATTTTCTTTAATAAGTCGCTTTGTGTTTAGTATTATTTTTCACTTTTTTAAGTTTGGAGTCGGCTCTATTTGTTTTTTTAATTTATTTTGTAAGACTTCATACGGCAAAAATGAAAATTGAACCCTAAATGAAACACAAACCCCATGTTCAGACATTCCCAGGTTACCTGCCGAAGAACACCGGAGAAACCCAAACAGGTATCTTAATCAAATAATCATTTAAAAAGGTGCTAAACAATCATTAACGTGATGTGATTTTTGATGATTTGAATAGAGATATGAAGTCTAAATAAGCTGTAGTGCTATTTTTTTATAATACAGTAGCATCTAGCACAAACCATAAAGGTTTAATGAAATGAAATTTACTTAAAATTTTCCAATGATTTTTTTATTCGATTGAAGGTTTTATTCGATTCAATCTTTAATACTGTAATAGCGCTGTGTTCAACGCTGTATTTTTACAGGAGGAGAATATGAGTCAATTACCTCACAAATCTGATAGTACTTACCATTTCATCAATTTCTTCTCGTTATTATAGTTTTTACGCGACTACCCAAAAAAGGAGTGTAAATATGTATGTATGTATGTGTATGAGTTTCTTTATTCCACCATAAATTTTGAAATACTAAATGCATTAGGTATCATTAGAAACGTTACATTGTTCGTCGAACAATGTAACGTTTCTAATGATACCTAATGCATTTAGTAGTGTATGACGTTATTTAGAAATATGAGATTTTTTTTTCTTTAATTATCGCAATATGGGTATCAAATTAAAGGTCTCGATGATAAAATTCCAAAGATATATTTTAAAAAATCATGCAGTCGGCCGTAATTTACAAGTTTGGTTAACTAGTGATTAAATGGTAATATGTTTATGACCTTAATTTTGTTTAATACGCCATCCTCTGGGGGTCTACTGTTTATACAGGAATGAAATTTCGGTTTTACTTGTTAGATGAACATCCGTGAATATTATTAATGTACTGCTGAGTCACAAGCCTGCGCTTTGGATAAAATCGAATCGAAGAGTCCACTATACACTAGGCGGGTCCAGTCTGGATTAGTAGGTTTTATCGACTAACCATGCAGTTACCTTCAAAACACTGAGGAGCAGTGGCGGACTAAGCGGGGCGGAGAGGGCAGTCCATCCCAGACCAGAAAAAAAATTGTTACAAACTTCCAGTTTTTTTTTTATTAAAATAAAAATCTATTTTTGTTCAATTACATTGTTTTTTTTACAGGCGTTTAGCCAAAGAGATGGGAGCAGGCGCTATGCGTATGGACACAACTTCAGCATTCTCAGCGGCTGCAGCGGAGCGGCTAGGTTATCGCTCAGTGTATGAAGTGCCTTACGCCGCATTGTCATACGCGCCTCAACCGCCAGCGCCACACTTGCTCGCTAAAGTTTACATCAAAGAATTTTAATGTAAGCAACTTCCGATTGTTAAAAAAATACCACAAAAGCTGTTAAAAAGTTCAATAAACTTTATTTATATTTGAACGAAGATTTGATGAACACGCTGAATCCAACTTAAATGAAAATGATTTTATTTGTTGTTGTATTTAAGTTTTTTTAACAAATTGTTTTCGTTTTATAATTTTGAATAACAATGATATCATCAAGATAATTTAGACGATTTTTATTTCCAGATATTTTTTATATAAATAAAAGCAAAGCTATCGATCAGATTTCGACGAAACAAAGTCTAAAAAAATCAGTTTAATTCGGCAGTCCTTTTTCTGGAGATTAAAATTCAAGAAAATCTTATTACACATGTTTGTATTTCCGTTTTCCTTTGTTAGCCATAGTTTTGCCAGATGTTGCCAGATATACCTCAGCTCTTACATATTACCCTATCATTTTTTATTTAATTATTATTTGGTCACTCCAGTTTTGTGTTCTCTTAAAAAGCAAATTTTTATAGTGATTTTTCTCTAGTTTTTCAATTCAATACAATTTAAATATATTTTAAATCAACTGCTTTTACAGCTTCCTTTTTGTTACAGGTATTATAACAATCTTTCAACGGTACCTGAAAAATTGAGGCATTCCTTAGTACCTACGTTAATATCCAAACCAAATGAATTGCTGTGCTTTGAAGCACTTTCAAAAGATATCCTAAGACGTAGGTACAAAGCTACCTAATTTCCTTTAAAAGTATTAATTGGAGTAAGGATTTAAAATAAAAACCCAGTCAACATGTACCTAGCCACTGAAATCTATGTCGTTCATTATTAAAAAACATATAAAATTTGTATTAAATACTTTGGAAGCTGGACTGTACAAAATAAAGAAACAGTAATTTCAATATATATAAGCTTAAGTCATAAAGGAAAGATTTCATTCAAAAAGAAATTTATCTATTCATTTCTTAGATCTGTCTGCAGTATTATTTATCTGTAGCTCTTTACATTTGCAATTTAATATCTTTGTAGATATTTATAAAAACTACCCAGTGAATATTAATAAATATTAGTATTATAAACATTGACTCCGTTATGACGTTAGTATTATAAAAGTTTAAACGATAATAACGCCTAAAAAATCAAAGACGGCAAAGTTAAAGAGAAACAAATTAAAGAGAGTAGGCGTTTACTGCAATTTATCGATAGTTACCCGAATTGTTTTTGTAGTATTAATTGAAATGTGATAATAGACTTAAATCATTAAATGACAATTAAAATCACCTGTTGTACATTAAAAAAAAATGTATTATGTAGTACCTGTACCAGTGACAATAGAGAGTCAATTGAATTGCTGCATGTAAATATTACTTTTAATAAATCTTAATGATAAATAATGGTGTTTTATTAATTAAAATCAGTGTTATAATTATTACATAATAAGGATGATTATAATCATACATTTAGTAGCTCGTTGGCGTTGTGGATAAGCGCCGCAGCCCGCGATCGTTGTCGTTAAGCAACTTTCGCAAGGGTCGGTCACGGGATAGGTGACCAAAAAATGATTATCTCGTTCCACTCCGTGCTTCGGAAGGCACGTTAAGCCATTGGTCCCGGCTGCATTTGCAGTCGTTAATACCCTTCAATCCGCATTGGGCTATCGTGGAAGGTTATGGCCCATCCTCTTTAACCATCTATAAGAAAGGCGTGAGCCCCTGAAGGGGGGGTGGAAAATGGCTCATGCCTGATAATCACTCATGCCTGATAATTGTAAGCATTTGTTATTAAGACTGGATATATGGAGAGCGTACACAATTTTAATCAAATTAGAAGTCGACTACAGCACCAACAATTGTTTTACACTGTGAAACACACCTACTTCTAGTAGGAATAAAATTAAAGGTAGGAATGGAAAAGAAAAATCGGAAAAGAGAAGAAAATGTGGGTTTAACTAAGTTGTTAATGTTTCTTCATCGTTCAAATAATCATTAGTGCCAAAAACGATTGTTACTTAAAAATTATAAAACGCTGTCACAGTCACTATAACTATGAAATGGATCGAGATTAGCTTTTGTTCCTCCTTTTAATGTGCTTAGAAAGTGGATTCATAGTTATTTGTGAAATTTGAGATAGTGACTCTTTTCTGTTGTTGTGGTTGTTGAAAATATGGCTCATAAAGAAAACAGAAGAAAATGTTTTAAGTGTGGACGTTCGCCAACCCAGCATAATGTAAAGCTCTTTCGTTTTCCGAAGCCGGCTAGAAGGAATCTTATACGGTACTTGCTTTAATCTTCTATTTATAGATTTCCAAACTAATGAATAGTATGTGAAGTTCCGCTACATTTTAACAAGAGAATATTCCCATTATTGCGATCCGTAGACTGCATGCGCTAGCTTCTAGGTATAAAAACAACACGGCTGATCCGCTTTCGATAAGAAAAAATGAAGAAAAATCGAACTTAAAATGATGGACTCATGTTGTATTATGGTTTTTCTAAACAAAGTCCTCATTGCAGTCGGGGGACCGTCCGTAACATTATTTAATCTAAGATGTTCCCTAATTGCAAAGAGATTTGTTTAGCCAAGCCGCAATACAACCTTGTTTCTTTCATTTTTAGTTCGATTTTTATTTTATTCCTTTCAGTGAGCAACTATTGTGTATACAAATTATATATTTTTGGAATGTACTTGTCAAGACATTTAATTTGATAGGTACTCGTGTTACTATAATTTATTATAGAAAATAATATTTTCATTCTTTTTTAAAATAGCATCATACATTCGACATATTGAATATGTAAAAAAAAATTTAGCCAGTGTCACTCGGGATATTGTAAGATTTTTAATGATACATGACAATCCGTTGTCTTTAAAAAGTTATAGTGGAATAAAGACCTTGTCTATTTTGAAATATTTTTCAAATAAAATGAATGTTTGCATATAACCTAACTTGAAACTTTCGGCTGTGTCGGTCATTTAGGGGCTCCTGGTATACCTTTAATAACTTAAACTCAATATACTCCTTTAAAGCAGTCGTGCAAATATACAAAATTGGTGAACATAAGTAACAACATACCTACATAACTGTCGATAGAACCTCCATTTTGATTTAGAAATCGATGAAAAAGACACTCAAACAAATATAATTAAGGCGCTGTGTCATTGTATGGTGATATCCTTTGATTGTGTATCTATGATAAGATACAGCAACTTGTAACCAACACACTTGAGTACTGTACTGATATTATCTGATACTGATATACCACACACGTTGCTCGATATGGATAACCGCAAAATGCGACTATTCAAAATGAAACCACAAGTTTTCCTGCCAAAAATAAAATAATATATTTCTCTATTTCTAATAATATATTTCAGTTACACCATTACCGATACAAAGAATTGTTTTAATATAAAGGGCGTCAAAGTAAGTTTGAAATAATAATAAAAAACTTACAGAGATACGTTTTACCGAATATATAAACACAAAAAACGATCTTTTTTTAATACAGTTGCTCAAAAAGTGGCGTATTGCAGTGACGTATAGCGTTCTGGATGTGGGCTATTACACACTCGTGCTTTTTTTTACCTTACCCGCACTTGTGCGTTCTCTTTCCCAACTGTCAAAATAATGTCTATTAATAAGAAAAACCAACCATGAAGTTTTTACTAAAAAAAATCAAAGAAGTTTTTATGATTCATTAAATACGTAGCGTATGTATTTTTCTAAAAAAAGCTACTAATTTGTATCGATATCAAATTTAATAATTTGATTGAATTAGTGAGGTTAGGTTTCATTTCATTTTATCTCATAAAATTTCATATCAATAAAACCCTTTGCCTTCCTTACCCTTTGCCTACCAGGATGGGTGAAGAAAAAATGGCGCCATTTTCCAGAAATTTTCTTTACGAGTTTAGTTGTTTGTTACACAAAATGTGTTTGTTTGGTATTTGTAACGAAAAGCTATATTGGTGATACATTAAACAAGAAAATGGAAAAAATCACACAATCCATTAATTTAAAGTCCTGTCCATCTCCTTCATACGTTGAAGAGAACGTTCGTCCATCTACCGTCGTTGATAATGATAATTCATCAGATCCAGTTCCATCAACTAGCAAACGCCATTATATGACAAATACCTATACATGAAAAATCATACGAAATTAATAATAGTTTATCTTAAACAGTACCTAAATATGCAACCTAAAACTTCCCCAGTTAGTTAGTATAAAAAACTGTACCAATTTCAATGTATATGTGAATTATAACTTTTATAAAAAATAAATGATTAGTTACTTGAGTTCATTTTGTTTTTAAAATTTTTTAAATTGCTTCAATTTTCCGCATAGAAGTTTGATCAAATAAATCCTTCTTCAAAAGGTAATAGGTAAGGGTCTTTATCATTGAGACTGTATTACAGAATAGAATTGCACTTCTCAAAGTTTCTTAGATTCGAAAAGCTTCGCACTACGGTAACTTGCATGTATTATTCACACCACTAATTCAGCGACTGCTCCAACACGTCCCGAATGTGACATTAATCCGTCGCTTATTACTACAACGTCGAAATTGACGAGATCCTGCGTCGAGGTAATGGCTCACTCATACGAGTTCCTCGCCAGAAGAACCATCTCGAGATCGGAGGAATCCGATCCGTTTCGTTTTAGGACCTCGCGATATCCCTTCTAAGCTATACAATCCTGTTTATAACGGTGAAATTTACCTATATAATATATTTATATAGAAGGATTAAAAAATCCTCGTAAAAAAACGTTTTTTTTTTAAATGAAACCCAGCTAGATCAGCACCAGCAGTCAGCGAGTTTTCGCCCCCGAAATCACCTACATACAAAATATCATGAAAATCGTTGGAGCAGATGACATAACGTATCATGCCGGTCTTGTACTAATACTGCCATCTGTGATGAGCATTGCGTAATATTCCCTATTGTACATACAAACGTCAGTAAATACCTTAGGCAAATTCGTTAAGCGTGAATACAAAATGATTACTGTTCATATTACAGAGCACAGAAATTATAAAAAAGTAAAAGTGAAAATGACGAATAAAGTCTCCAGCAATGTCATTTAAAAAACAGCGTAGAACACGACGTCGAGCACAGCGATATCACAGCACAGATATTCAACCAAATAACACCGACTTCAAAAGATTAATATAATCTACATACTGTACACGAAATAATATCAATAAAATTAGTTCCACAGCCACAGTGACTTTAAATAAACATTGTTTTTTATCTATAATAAGTATGCGGTTAGCATAAATTATAAATACGCGAGCTGCCGACGCGTTGGCCGTCAATATTTTAGTTGCCCAAGCGCCAGTGAAATAACAAAACATTAGTCAGTGATTGCTTATCTACGAGTTGATTTGATGTGATCGCTTTATGTACCAGCATATTCATTCCACTTTTAGATAGGTGGCGAGATACAGCGAAAGTAGGTACGTAATTTGAATCAGATTCAATTTTAATATATCCATCGATTTTTAATTTAGAATAGAACTAAACTATAACAATGATGTCTTGGCTGTTAACCTTCAATGACAGCTCGTGTTTTTGTAGCTTTTAGTATCAGTTTGGGTATATCTATCAAATCAGTTTCTCTTAAAGCGGAAAGGAGAAGTGAGGATTTTGTTTCATTTAATTTCACTGTTAATAAATAGTACCAGATCAGTGATTGCTTAACTATTTTTGACACGAGTCGCCTTTTCAAACTGAACTGATACATCGCAGCTTTAAAAAATATTTCTCTAGTATTTTCCTATTGATATAAAATACTTATCAGTTTAAAACTTCGCGATTGGTTAAATAAGTGAGTAAACTCGACATGATTTAAAATTTTTATCTATGTGATTAAAGGTCAGTTGCACAAATGTCCATTAAGGTTTAAAACGCCTTTGAGCTCTAATTAATGTCAAATTTGTATCGGTAATGTCGCCATGATGACAATTTTAATGGACGTTTCTACAGCTGTAAATCAGTTTGTCCTAAAATGGAAGTATTATAACGTTTCATCCAATTTCACTGTAAATAGATACAAACTGTTTTGTTAATGGCTCATTTATATTGGTCGACAGGACCCGCATACTAATTGCGGATGATTAATTAGCCAAAACCAATATCTATTCAATTCTATAAAATCTATTCAATCTGCAAACTCTAACCACAGTGATAAGAGATGTTTACCTACATCATGAAAGTTCGTATTGAATTGTAAAATTCAATACGTGAATTGTAAAATTCAATACGAGAATTGTAAAATTCAATACATGAATTGTAAAATTCAATACGTGAATTGTAAAATTCAATACGTAGTTTTTTTTTCAAATCAAAATCAGTAGTAGTCTAGGCTGTTACAAGTACTGGTTAAAGTAAAGAACCGACAAAAAACTCAGCAAGGGTTGCTTATTTTCTAAGACAATGCTAATGTATGGATGCGAGAATTGGGAATGTCGGAGAGAGCATTAAAGAGGAACTAATGCGGCAGAGATGAGTTAATTCTACGTAACGATCGCATCGTATCGTAGGAAGATAAACTGAATGATAGTAAATCGCGTTCTGTTCACAAGTGATATCAAAAGTCATAAAAATCTCTATCAATATCGGAATTCAAAACAAATAAACGATAGGAATTTATGTTATGCGAGTGATTTAATAGGTTGATTAATATGTTTCAGTTTTCCTAGTGGTTTCGGCCTTCGTTAGCTAAAGCGTGACGAGGTATTCCGTTAAAAATGGCGGAAAATACGGCAGACTGGACATACTCAATACAGCCCGTCACAAATGATGATGTGGAACCAATCATGGAACTACTGAAAAGGTAATTTAGTTTGCCTTCTTTTAATAAATCGAGTTGGTATGTTCGAAACATACGACGAAGTAAATAAACCTTATTTATTGATTATATTTTTATCAATTATTTGCAAAAGATCAAAAGATCGCATTGTTGTTTTAAGTATGGAATTCTTTACTCTAAAAGACCAAGTCCCTTCAATCGACTCTATTAACCCCTCACTAGCGAATCCCTGTCCTTAAATTTCTTATTACTTGGTACCATTATTATAAAAAAAAAAGTTGAAAATACCAAATACGTTTTTAGAACATTTTACGTAGACGAGCCTATGAACGAAGCTATCCAAACATGGACTGAAAGTAGCCCTTGTGAAGAATTAGACGAATACTGCAAAAAGGGCCTGCTTAAAGGATTATCTTTTAAAGCCGTGGATAAACAAGGGAACATTGTCGGAGTCAGCATCTCTGGAGCTACCAGTCTAAATGAGGTAAATTAATATATATGGGAGAAATTTAAGGAAATAAGACATTATGACTGTTGCTTCTCAATACATATACGAAACTTAATGTACGTTCGTAAAAAATATTAGTTTTTTTTCTATAAAAAGTGATGTACACAATTTTAATACAATAAAAATAAATTCACGGTGCCTGTCAGACTGCAAAAAGTTAATAACTCATTCAAGGGTGTGCGCTTCTACAATAAGGTCCCAAGCAAAATACAACAATTAGATATCATGCAGTTTAAATCTACTATGTATTTAAAAAAATACTTATTAAAAACTGTACCTATTTATTTTTGACAATCGTGACATAGCCGGCTTTTTTTCTGAAAGCAATAATAATATCACGTTCCTCTAGAAATCGCTATTCTAATAACAATGGTGCGGCGATTACAAAATATGACGTAAATTCGTGCGGAAGTTTGTGGCACAATTTATCAATGTAATATTTTACTACGCTGTAGTAAAATCTCATAAAATCACCTACCAATTATAATGAAGCAAAAATAATAAAAACCGCAAATTGTTAAATTCCCTAGGAAATTTATAAACTTCCGTAGGATTCTAAACGAGAGATAAATAAGGTATTATTAACGCTCACATTTTCGTAAATTTACCGATTTGCGACGTCTTGTGGAAAATTTAAATTCTTCAAATCACAGAAGAGCTTTTAATTTTACGCTTCTTTGAAATACGGCAAATAATACACTGCTCTCTGGTTAGTTGATGTTGACAGTAGCAATGCTTGTTGTGTCCGCACTATCTTCGCCATTTTGGCTGTCCGCAGATTCTAGGTCACTCATTATGGGTTTACTTTAGTAACGTTAGCAAAATATAACTATTGTTACAGTTCCAACATTAAAAACTTAACCAAAACACACGAGCACCAATCGGTTTGTTTATGTTCTGTAACGAACAATGGCGGTGGAGAGGAAAGAGAAATAACACGTGACTTATTCAGCCAATCAGAGCGCACATGGCGTTTGATTATTGCTTAGTTATTATTTTACGCATGAGTTCGATAAAATTGATAAACTTACAATTTACGAAAATGTTAGCGTCAAATAATACAATTTATCCCTCATTTAGAATCCTACGATAGTTTATACATTTCCTAGGAAATTTATCAATTTGCGGTTCTTGTTATTTTCCGGTGACATATACATCGACGATACGTTATACCTAATGGTTAAGTTAGTAGTTAGGTTAACACTTTATAATGGTTAATGCTACTATGCTACTACTGAAGCTACGTATATTCCTCTAACTTCAGTAATATAGTTCCTACTACTGTATTTTTACCACATATCTAGAAACAAACAATGAAAAGGTAAAGCTTAGTACTTAAATTCACAAAAGAATATCGAAATCGAAATATAATCCACGTTATTTTTATTCGGATAGACAAACGAACATATAGTATATAGGGAAACTAACATTTTCTCGTGGACCACGAAATTCTGAAAGGCTTGATGTAATTACGCATACACTTCGCAATCCTAAAGCAAGATTATAATGACTACATTATATTATATTGCTTTTATAATTATTATAGAACGCAGACAAAATATTGTTGGAGGAAGCTGATCATTGCAAGAATCCAAAATTCCAAAAGATACTATATATAATCGCGAAACGGGAGGAAGGAGCTAAGTTGTGGGAGAGATTTCCGCAAGACAAGGAGCACGTCGAGGTGTTTGTGACCGCAACTGACCCCAACTGGAGAAAACGTGGCATCATGAATAAACTTATTGCCGAAACTGAGTAAGACAACCTAAAATTTCATCAATATCTCATATTCTTCACTCAAACACAAAATTGGTTGTATTTTTGACTCAAGTCTGAGTTCTGAGTGCACTACTTCACCATGAAACTTGATAACGCAAGGGAAATACACCTTAATCTGGGGGCTAATTCTAGTAAATCAATTTTGTAAAAGCTAAAATATAACTGAAATTGTATCGTATGTCACTTTGTAGAATAGGAAAACCATTAAAAACCGTAGTTTCTTTCGGTTTCGATCCGTTTTTAATTCGATTTAAACAAAATGTATTTAGAAGAACGGCCCCCAGAGCTACCCAGCCACCCCGCTAAGCGTTTCTGTAAAATTGCAAAAACCGAATTCGAATTCACTCAAGTGTACCTACGAGTTAATTTCAAAAGTGAATTCGCTAACTTATATTATTCTAGAAATTCAATTAATTGGTTGTAAAAATTTCACAACAAGATTGAGTGATTCATGCGTGCCTCAGATATTCTATCCCTGTCATTTCGAAACTCACTTCACTTATGCCACGAAAAGTTAATACTCATTCAAAGTTATGCGGATGTCGCTTTCGAAATGGATTCCGACACCTGAGTTAATTCGAATTCGGGATAAAACCAGCTACGGTTCACCTCACGCGGATGAATGAGTCCAGTGTCCTACAAGGCCCGGTCTCACCATGAAGCTCTTCTTTGAGCGGTTGGTAGAGTCAATTACTTACCAACACTAATAATTTAAATTACTCGATAATTTTTAGTTTCTTCTTCTTCTTAGTTGCTAAACTCTAGGCAAAGTTATCGTGGTTGGTTTTAGAAAAGATTTGTAGTTGCTGTTAGAAGCGTCATGAAGCTTATAGGCTATACTTCAAGCTCGGATTCTAACCCAATTTGAACATGTCTCGCGACGGTGTGATATATTTGTGGATTGCCTTGTCGTACAAGGAAAGCCCCAATTATACCGACACAGTGACCGCTATATCTATACTAATGTTATAAAAAGATTGTTGGTTTGTTTGCATCGAACCTACTGAAACGATTTTAAAGATTCTTTCACCTACGGGTAGCTCCATCCATACGGGGCTGACATAGGCATATTTACGCGTGCGAAGTCGGTGGAAACAGCTAATTGGGTATACTTTTATGCCGGATGCTGTAGTAACTCAGTCCTCGTTTTATAACGACGGTTGGTTCTTTGTAAGTAACACATCCTCCTCAATCACTTCCACCGACCTCATAGAACTTTAACTTCATTTATTTGTTAGTAGTCCCTCTGTTAAAATCACAGAACATAAATCCATCCATCGAGTCCCTCTGTTTAGTACTATGCATAATATCAGACTATAATATAATTATATCTTATAAAATCATAAAATATCACAGCCACAGTTAATTATTATCATATAGGTAAACTTTAAGTACTTATTCTTTAATAACATATCATAACATGAAATTTTCTTATTCCAGACGGCAGTGCAAACAAAAAAACCTTCGTATTCTACGGTTAGATACGTCTAGTGCATATTCTGCCATGTCGGCAGAGCGATTGGGTTTCATTTGTGTCTATAAAGCTTTTTACAAGGACCTCAAGAAAGATGGCCAGCCACTGATAATTCCTAAAGAACCACACGTAGCAGACAGTGTTTATATTAAAACGCTATACGATTGAGTTGTTCAGATTAATCTTCATAGTTGATATTTATCAGCTATTATTTATTATTTGTATTTCATCTCTAATAATAAAGCTGTTAAAGCTTGTTTGTTTGGTTGAACTCTATAATATCAGGAAACGAACTGAATTATTTTTCTGTGTTGAGTAGTCCATTTATCGAGGAAGGCTTTGACTATAAAACATCACGCTATGAGTTATAGCTAGTGGAGCAGCAATGAAATATGTTGCAAAAAAGGGAGAATATTTCACTTTTTGAGAGCTTTTCTTGCGTGTGCTGCGTAAACGAAGAAAGATACGCAAAAAATATGTATCCCCTTTAAAAGTTCTTAAAAAGTCCGTTCTAAAAAGCACATAAAGTGAAAATGGCAGGAGTAAATGTTTTGAATAATTCAAATTCGCACAATCGTTGTCGCTAATATTAAATTCACATGTTACGTTGGTGTGTAAACGAATAGTTACTTTTAGATGACGCTACTGTACTTTTAAAAAAGGATTTTGATTTTTTCTTTATTTTATTATGAGTTTTATCGCACAAAGTAAGTTTCGTTTTCAATTTTTCGGTTCCATCGTCAACAAGGAACCCTTATAATCTCATCATGTCCGTCCGTCGGTCTATGGTTTAGCTCAAAAACGATTTTATAAGACAAGTGTAACTTCAATCACGCCGACAAAAATAACTTCATTAAAATATAATGTCATTTTCCATTACAATTAGAAAATATACATTATAGATGTTGTTACACTACTATACACTACATTATAGGTGTTGTGACAATGTTGAAACAACCTGTGTTATATAATGTTAAAAAATAATCCGGCTGATTTTTATCCCAAACCCTTAGTCGTAACACTATATTTACTCTTAAATCGATTCATATCAAATGTAACGTAAAACTTGTTTATTGTATAATAATGTACCCAATCACTACCTGCACTCTTGTTAATTATAAAAAACAAAAAAATATATAATTTCTTTCACTAAAAAGAAAAACAAACCTAGTAGTTTGGAATGTTAATAAGTCCTAAACTGAATAACTGCTCCATTGAAATAGTTTTTAAATACACAAATAAAACATCTCATAAATTCAAAAGCAGAATAGAACGATCAACAGTCGGGAGTCGGGACCCATTCCTTTTTAACCAATCTCCAGAGCCCCGTATAATTTTAATGGGTCCCGGCTCTTGATACTTGTATTCTGCTTTTGAATTTATGATAACTAAGATTTATATGTGTATAGATTTGATAACTATTTCAATGGAGTATATCCAAAATTCACAAAAATCGAAAGTCGAAAAAGTTCTTAGCGAAGAGGTTGGTCGTTTTTTGAATCCAAGGGGTATATAGATATTCCATAACAGTTTGGTGTATGACCTACAATTATACTATCGCCAACTAGCAAAAGCGAAAGCAGACATCATAGTCATTGGTGGGTGTGACTATTCACACACATGAGCCCGCCATTGGAGTATGCCGACGACCTCCGTAGCCGAGTGGTTCGCACGCCGGTTTCAAGGTGTCGCCATCTCTGATGTCCCGGGTTCGATTCCCGGTCGGGTCAATGTAGAAAATGAACTTTTCTATATTGACTCGGGTCTGGGTGTTGTGGTACCTTCGTTGTCTCAGATACTCCATAATACGGGGGCTTTAGCTACTCATCTTGGAATCTGAACAATGTATGTGATGTTGTTAAAATATTAAAAAAAATATTACTGAGTCATACTCCCAACCAACAGAGGTGGGCCGATATAGGGGCAAACGGCGCGGGAAGTGGTCTTCCGGCTATCCCGTGCTTCACCTTCACGGAAAGGGAAGCGCAGAATTCACTAAACAGGCACACCCGAAGACAAGTCTGCAGAAATGTCTGCCAGACCTCATTACTATACAAAGTTCTGTGCAATGACTGCGACGGCCAGACATGCAAGCCCTATAGCAAACGAGGTCCAGCGGGCAGTCCGTAGCGAATTCTGAACTGGATTTTTGACTAGCCCCATTCCGAAGAGGATCTGCAGGGGAGAGTCCATCATAACCCACCGATCTGGCTTAGGAAGGAGCGGGCATGCGTAATGCATTTCCAAGCTAAAAAGACTACCACGGCATGTCAACCTTATGGTTTTTTTTTATAATCTGACAGTAGACAGCCAGATTATCACAATCTTTACTTTAAAGTGGGTACACAAGGCTTCACGTCCAACTACCACAATATTTAAATAACATTAAGGTTTAAACTTTTTAGGGCAGGGTGGAAGAAGAGCCCTGGTTTAAGGTTTAACGTGCATTTCCCCTGCGTTTACAAAAAAATAAATTTTAAATCAGCCCGACGTGCTGTCGACTTTACTGTGACTGTAAAATAATGATACTTCCTCAATAAGTTATTCCCATGTTATAATACATCAATAACAATATTAGGTCAATTAATTATATAGATACAATTCAAGATCATTTAACCACATTCACTTTTCTCATCGCAGGTACCAACTTTGTAACGTATAGGTAGGACGAGCCTGAAAGATATAAGTAATTTCATTATCATTATTAGTTTTATTAAGCGGTTGCGTACACCCACAATCTATTAATTTGCGACTGAATTTTCAGAAATAAACATCTAAATAAGCTCTAATTGGATGGTCGGTCAAAGCTAATAGTATAGCGTTGTCGTAGCTTCTGCCTTCGTATAGTTCAATGAAATAAGAACAAAAAAGGAAACAGCCACTCGATTGTAACACGTATTATGAGAGGCATCAAATTAGGGTATGTTCCGATATACACTGCGACCACTGAACAGTATGACGTCAATTTAGTAGACTGGAAGCCCTTTCCTTTATAGCTAGTTATACTGGTGACTTTTTAAAATGGAACGCAGTCCAGTATACTGTTAATCCTATTTTTTGGCGCCATTTTCAAATTTGTTAATGCAAGGTGAATATAAATATAAAGATTCCCTCTTTTCAAAAGAAAATATTATAAAATTGGAAAAAAAAAATTATTAATTAAATCCATCTTATAATAAACGTAAGTATTTTTTTTTTGTTTATTTAGAAACTTATCATTTTCTGATTCTGTTTCGACCGATCACGTGATCAAAAGCACTGCGAGCACCTTACCTCGAAATCTCCAGTGCTCACAGTACAAATATGGCGGCAATTTATGACGTCATAAATTTCCCTAGGGTACTGTAGCAGTGTACTGGCAGTCCATAACGGAACGGATTTTTCAGCAGTAAGACCATTGTGCAGTGCTCGCAGTGTATATCGGAACATACCCTTAAGCATATACTAACTACCGTACCTAATACTCCTTAATACTACGAGATGGCATTGAATAAACTGTTTTACCGACTAATACGCGGGACCGTTATATACATTCTTTTAGTGATTTTGCGTGATTTTTAAACCTTAAGCTTCTTCTTATAACAGAAGGAATAATTTTGATACCATGTTCAAACCTTAAAACTTTAACTACATTTATTTATTAGTAGTGATATACCTGCATTGAGTCCCGCTGGTAAGTACTATGCAAAAAATCCCCTGGGATCATATCAGAAAAGACGAAATCAGCGTAAAATTCTTCGTCATCTCTGTAAAAAAACACTGAGTATAAAGTAAGACACCATCAATTTAAACAGACCAAAAAATGAATGCCAACTACAACGTATCATTATATCTTGATGATCAGGGCTTCATAGGGCAGAAGACCCAATTTTGGTCACTGACCTCTCTAGGCCATTTGCTACTGCTAATTTATCACCAAATCTTTTATGTCCCCATTGTATGGAATCAGGTCAAGCTCAGGCTCAGGCTCAGGCCTTCCTTAAAGATGGTCAACGAGGATGGGCCATAACCCTCCACGCTGACCCGATACGGATTGGAGGGTATTAACGACTCCGGACTCCGGTGTTAGTGCCGGTCTTAATATGTCTGTACACTTTACGAATCCGATAAAACACTATCAGGTTTAAAGTTATCTTTTTTTAAACGTTCGCCATCTATATGTTATGTTTTAATATATCAACTAGCACAGCGCCCCTAGCGGTAACTATAAAGAACTACAAATATCCATACAAATTCTTAACGCGCTCAATAGTCATTCAATGTAAAACTTACACTCGCCACTCAAGACGCAAAAATAGATGTCAAGAAAAAATATTGTAAGGTGTTGTGGGATTTGTTGAAGATGCGTCAATGTCGCTAGTGTTCAACAAAACGAAACGGAACAAGTACATACTGAAAAAAAAAAAAAATAACTTACTATAAAACAATATTCAACAATTTATTACAATAAATATCTTTACAAATCTCCGAGATATCTAGAAAAATATCATCTGACTACAGATAAAAGCGTTGTATGAATATTTTTAATTACAAAATGTACAATAAATTGTTTCTACTCTATATTTACAAAAATTCACTACAATAAACGTGTAAAAATTTTACATTATAAGTGCAAAATACATCCGTTATAAAAGAATACGGATTTGTGCAAAATTCACTTAAAAACAATACAAACGTAGTATTATGATAATGTATGTACATATATGTATAAATGTACACAAATCTACTAACAAATATTTAACAATAAAAAATTGGACTAAGAGTTTATTTAACTATCTGCATGTACTATATATACTATTATTACTTAATTTACTATTATTTAACAAAATTTATTTACACACATTATAATACTTACTAACTAGTACAGATACACAAATTTATATAAAAATAGGTGTCCATCTTAGTGAAATTTTCATCTAATCTAAAGTTTCAAAAATATTTGTAAAAATATTTTTTCGTCTGTTTGGGTGGATTGCCTGAACATAGTGAAAAATGTGCTCACAAGTTTTGCAATTTCAAGTGCTTGAAAAATTCAAGTCTTGTTAGGTCCTGGGTAACTCAGTAGTTACAGCAGTCGCCCTGATTGCGATAGGTTCGAGTCCCATCTCAGAGTATCTGAGGCTAGTGGATTTTTAAGCATTTCTCGTTAAGAATATTATCGAGTTATTTTGTTACCTTGTCCCTGCGCTATATAGCAATAGTTTTATAGGAAAGCATGGTGTCAATGAGGAAGTATTTTAAGAAAAAAAAAAGAATTAAAAAGTACCTCACTAGATAGCGACTCTACCAAAAGTTGATTTTTGCAGGAAACGAATGGACCAAAGATAGTGTAATTTCCGTTCCTTTTAACTAACATATCAAAAAACTGAAATTTGCAAAGTTCGAAACTTAAATATCCAAAAAAAAAAATTTGTTAAAAATGGACGTTTGTGCAACTGACCGTTAGTCAATAAACATATGCGCCTCAATATGTCGCTTGGATTTCAGGTTTCAATTCAATTTGTACTTAAGGCAAATAGTTTTTTCAATGAGAACGATTTGATACATTTTTCGAATTAATATTTTTTTGTTTACAAATTACGGATCTCCCTGGCCTTCAAATAAAAAAATGTTGTGATTGTATGTTAAACAAAAAATTATTTATACAATCACTAATGATGGGCGACCTTTAAAAAAACAGTCAATCTGTGAATGGAAAGTGGACATGATTCTTTGACAGTTTTGTCTGTACGATTCAACAAAAATGCGCTTTGTCGACCAAATATCTTATCAGTGTAATTATTGTCAACTAGCACATAGCTAAAATTAAAATAAAAGGAGATTGAATCACTTTTTCTCACTGGCCAATGCTTGCCCTAGTGACGCGGTGGCGACTGTGGGATTGGCTGCTTGCACAATTTTCTCCAACAAAAGTCTAGTCTGTACCTGTCGATTTAAAATTCATACCACAGTTAGAAAATACTCATTGAAGAATTTGCCAATAAATTAATAAACAGAACATAGGCGCAAAATATTTTTTTGGGTGAAGCGAAAGCATTGCACTAATAGGGATGATGACTGGGTAAAAGAAATGCAATTCTATTTAGTCCGTCAGTCAGATAATAGAAAAATATTAGATACGTATTTTTTTTTACTTAAATTTAACAAGAAATAGCTTAGATAACAGGTATTAAAGTTGAGGAGTGGGGGCTCGCTACGTCACAGTTGAGTAGAAAACGTACTCTAACGTGACGTCATGCGAAATTTCAACTCAATTTAACGCCGTAATTTTATGATTATGAAAAAAATAAAAAAATACGTGTTTAATATTTTTTAACACTCTAACTGACTACAAACAAACAAAAATTAGTCATCATCCCTATTGTTCATTTCAAGTTGGCCATCACACTCAGGTTGGGTCTTTATATTTTACAATAAACCATTTGAGCTTAAAATCTATGATGGTTCTGAGATCCTGGGTCCGAACCCTGGTCAAGCAATATTAAAAAAGAACTTTCAACAACTAATATTATCTCAAAGTGGGGTTGTTATGTACCTTTGTTGTTTCAAATTTCTAAAATATGCTTTAGTTACTTAATTTGGGATCTGAGCAATGTATATGATGTAATATTATATTGATTTTATCCAAATAGTATTATTTCACCACACTATGACTTACTCTTGTCAACTCAATATATAATAATATAAATGCAATATTATATAATATCTACACTTGCTTACTGTTTACAAAGGGTCATGAAATTCATGTATTTTTTCATGAAATAATAATAGCAGTAAAAATATGAAACCTACCTCGTTGGCGTTTTCTTTAGCTGCAGCACGTACCTTTTCCAATTCTTCAGCAAGATATTTTGACTTTTCATTCGCTTGCCGACGTTGAATCATGTACATTTCCCTGTAAACAATTTCAACAGAACACATGATTTTGAGTCATGAGAAAATTGAAATTTAAAACATTAACTAGCAAAATAGCAGGAAGGATAAAAATGTATGCAATGTAAAATTACCTGATGACAAACATTTGGAGTAAGCAGCCTACCATGGCAAGACTACAACAAAGAAGGATGATCACATAATTTGGCACTTTTTTCAGTCCCTTCACACCATAAAATGAATTGCTTTGTGATGTATTCTGAGAATTTTGACTATGAGTTTGGTATTGGTAGGAATATTGAGTATTGGAATTTCTTCTCATGCTGAAAAAAAAAAAATAACACAAATATAATGTTCAACATCAGGAGAGTTTTAAAAACAGTACCAATAATAATATAAATAGTTAAATAGCATATAAATAGTTAATGCCTTTGGTAGGGGAAAAAAAAATTTTGGACAATTCAAAAGTGCTTGTAATGCTAGTATTGTGTAATGGTGGACCAATGAACACCAAAAAGTGATCTTCATTGGTTTTTCCAGATGCAACAATAAAGACCAACAAAACTTGTTGGTTCTTCGTCGGCCCAGTCGGTTCATAACATTACGGAAATGTGAAAAATTATATTGTTCGTATTTGAAATATAGTCTACAGAGATGGAAGCACCTTGACATATTGAACAATAATCTTGCTGATTTTCAATGTGCTTTATATAAAAAGGATAAAACATACCCTATAACATACCTTATAACCAAAGCAAAAAATTAAGGAAAAGAGCACTCCTCTCAGAAACATCCAATATTAACTAACAGGATCATTGTATCTTATTATTTCTACTTGTTTGCTCAAATAAGGTGGAAAACAATATCTAACTGAGTAACTCATTATAATGATAACAACAATATATGTCAGGTTGAGTAAATGTTAGTATATTAGGGATTCACTGAATATTTGGTATATACATACTTATAAGGATTGTATGTTCTATAGACATAAGTGGAGTCTGATGAATTTTGTGCACTATCATATTTAGCTCGGCTGCCAGCTTTACTCAATACATTGTATGCTTCTACAATTTGAACAAACTTATCTTGAGCTGCTGCATCTTTGTTTTTGTCTGGATGATACTAAAAATATCTTCATTAGTTTTTTTTTTTTCAAAGAAAAATTAACAGTATTCCTTTACTGGCTATGAAAATCATACCTCTTTACTCATTTTGATGAAAGCTTCTTTAATTTCTTTTTCAGTGCAATTTTTACGCAACCTGAGAATTTCATAGTGTGATTTTCTAGCAAAACTGAAAACACAAATAGTCTATAAGTAAGAACCAAAACAAACTTACCTCACAAAACAATTACGAAACAAACCTGTAGCATCTTATAACAGAATTTAGAATTTTGTATTCCAATTGACGTGCTACAAAATACATGTCGATTTTGACTATCCAATATCTCTAAAATAGGATTGAAAGTGGCTCATATTTTACATTTTATTTGGAATTTCTCCATTTTGTAAGTGTCAATGTCAATTTGTGTCAACAAAACAAATTGACACTGAGGGCGCTTGTGCACTACACTGAATTTTCATGTCCGGCGGTCCGATTTTTTCAGGTCCGATATGTCAGGCCATATGTAGGTAATGCGCGCTTGTGCACTGTCAGGAATTTTACCGTCCGGAATTTTACTTTTCTCTATTCCGGACCGGTTTTTTCAGTTCCGTGATGGCAGCAATGAAAAACGTGTTTACGCTTGTGCACTGCTGTGTCCGAAATCCGGAAAATTCATAAGGAATAGGCTTGGGAAAAAATAATCGATTTGAATCGATATTTATTTCGGCAATATAGTTAATTTCCAATAAACTTATAATCGATATTTATTGTTGATTATAAAATGCTATATTTTATATGATGATTCAATATAGTTGGTATATATCACAACTCGGTAAAGTTCTAATTTGATCAGCGTATGGTTCTAGTATCGATACTTAGCTAGATTTTAGAATCGTATTAAAAGTATCGATAGCTTCTTTTAATACGATTCTAAAATCTATTAAAAGTAAGATAAATAAGTGTTGTTACGCTTAGATGCCTAAACAACTGAACCCATCTAAATGGAAATTAATATAGTAAATAGACTCTAAGAAAGGACATAGGCAACATTTTATCGCGAAAAATAGGGGATGAAAGTTTGCCTGGAAATCTGTTATTATCAATTTTTTTTTAGACAATTGATAAGTATAGATAAATATTCGACAACAGAAGTAATAATAAAGAATAAACAGAAGATTTACAAAAGTAATTAAGTGACACTCAATGTCTTTTTCGCATTTAATAAAATTGTTTCTGTCATTAATAAATTTTAAAAAAGAAGTATTCTAAGGGAAAAATATTTCTGCTCAAAGAAACTACACCACGCGTATATATAATACAGTCAACTGATCTCGTAAAGTTCATTTAGCATAATAATTCTCCGCTAACACGTCACTAATTTCGATTTGTTTACGAAATGGCGCCACCGATTGGTCTATCTCTGTAATCGCTGAAAATTGTTTTTACAAAACTTCGAAAAAAAATAGCACGTTTAAAAATTTAAACATCAAGTACTAGACCATTATCAGTAATTTTATTCTAATGTCACAGACATTTTTAGCTATTGTATGTGAATAATGCTGTTCCTAAATAAGTAAGGGTATAAGTTTTTACATCTGATAGTAGTCATCCGATAGCAGTAAAAAAAATTCATTCGTCTTGCCATAATTTATTATGGTTTATGTAAAACGATCAGATCATTATTTAGGTACCTTTCTACGTCTTCGAACGGAATTACCGACGTTCCAAAAATCTCATCGTACCTAGCGTAAGTGACGTGTAGCTTCAAAGAGAGCTGCACTACACTGCGCCGCTCCGATCAGGAAAAAAACGGACAAGTGCACAAGCTACTCATCCGAGTTTTTCATGTCATTCCGGACCGGAAAAAATCGGACCGCCGGACCTGAAAATTCAGTGTAGTGCACAAGCGCCCTACAGTACTTTTTATGTTTTTTTTTTTCCACTGTCGGTCCGGCCGACTGACTTGTGGACTGACTCATTTTGTAATAAATTAACAATTAATAATACTCCCGAATTTTCATTTCATTAACCGTGACATTTATGTACCATTTATAAAAAAAATGTTTAACCCTTAATCAACAAAATTATAATAAAAGAAAAAAAATATAAAAGGTAATTTACTTAAAATTATACCCCTATTAAACAAACGCAGCATTCGGAACACATTGCTGTTGGTTGGTAGCATAGTTCTATGGCTTTGTTCACTTCTTTAAATATTATTATTTCTTTCTTGAATCGAGTAACGTATAGAACTAATTTCTGTTTTTTTTTAGGAAATTTTAGACTTAAGCAAGAATCCAGTTTTCTTCTATTACCGTACGACGGGACGTGATTACGACGAGATTGCAAACTGCAAACGCCTCTTCTTCTACCCTAGTGAGTCAGGGCGTACCTCAAGGCTCCATTCTGGGGCCTCTTCTTTATATAATTTCAGTGCTGATATTACAAAGGTTATAAGGCATAATAGTTATCATTTATATGCCGACGATATTCAATAGTAGATATCTGAGCATCCTGATAGAATGGGCATGTGTACTTCGGTTATTGAGTGAGGATTTGGAGGAGATACGTCATTGGTATACTGAAAATGACCTTGTACTAAACCCAAATAAGTCTAAATATATGGTCATATGCTCTAAATCTCAAATAAAGAAGATCATTAACAGATCTCCTCATGTTACGATACGGCAGTATCCTATGGAACGTGTGCAAACAATTAATAAAGGGGATCACTTTGATAGCGAGCTGCGTTTTAAAGGCCATGTAAAGGTTTTCGTCAAACAATGTTTCTACAGGCTTGAAGGTCCTGTATAAGATACGTGATCTACTGTGTCGGAATGCTCGTATTAATATTTAGTTCTGCCCAGACTTAACTTTGCGGAATATGTTTTTAAACCACGTCTCCTTCATAAATTTCGAAGACTGATACAGCGAGTTCAAAATGCCTGTTTTAGGTTCTGTTTTAACGTAGCACCACATTCTCATATTTCTCCATTTCTTAATAATGAATAAATATTGAATATGGAATCACGTCGACGTCTACATCTAGCATTGCTATCATTCGATATAACAAAATTTACCTCTTCTCAAAATTATTTTTTTGTACAGATCGCATGATTACCTGCCGTTGTTTAACATAATTTTGTTTTTTAAAGTGTTAAATTTGCTAGATAAACAAAAATTAGGTGTTCCAACACTCTGACAGGTAACGGAAACGAGATTTTTTTGTTATGTAACTTATTCATGTTTGTATAATAAGTTACATAACAAAAAATATATATTATTAATGATAATTACGAATTATACAATTTAACTTTATTTTAATAATATAGTAATTTGATTTCATTTTTATTATTCAAAAAATATTTACGAATTAATTTTCTACTTGTATTATTCATTTTCTATCTATAAAATATAATATGTAGGATACCTTAACTGATTTCTATTGAAATTTAAACCTGGTTAGATTTAGTATCGTGTTTGCGTTCACTCTTGGTTGCAGCTGAAAATCAGCGATTTGCTCGCATTGCATGCGCGTGAATATTTGGCGCCGATCTGGGATCATTGTGTACTTCTGCGAAACACACATACATTTTCTTGTAGTGGTCATTTGTCCCATCTTCATACTTCATTATTTATATTTTATGTGTATTTTGGCACGAAATAAATCATTTATCCATCTATCTTCCGTTACTTTAGTTTAAACTAGTTACTTATTCTTAATGAAAAATGCTTAAAACATCCACTTTGTCCTTGGCACTCTGGGATGAGACGTGAACCCATTACCTTTCGCAATCCAGGCGACTGCTATAACCACTGAGCTACCCAGGACCTAACAAGTCTGAATTTTTCAAGCACTTGTTATTCTTTTGCTACTACAGAGCTTATTTTCATCAATGTTTTGGCAATCCACCCTAACAACCGAACGAAATATTTTAACAAATAATTAAACTTTCGATAAAGAAGAAAATATATCCCTATGCATGCTATAAATCTTTAAAACTACGCAACGGATTTTGATGTGATTTTTTTCATAGATAGGGTCATTCAAAAGAAAGGTTTTTATGTATAATACAAGACTATGCGGGCGAAGCCGCTGGCGGAAAGCTAGTACTGTTATCAATCTGCACCCATTCCCTTAGAAGAGGGAGTGAAATGTGAAAGGTGAAACATATTGACGTATTCAAAACAAAAGAATTGACAAGTCATAAATAATGGCAAAGGTGGAGTGTATTGCCCTAGTGTTGCCATCTCGACAAATTGACCGGAATGATGGCCTTATACAACGAATGTTTAAAGTCAAATTTATCTGATATACAAATATGCGAAATACTTTTTGAAAAGTACTTAATTCTCCTGTATGTATAATGTGTAATATCCTTGAATATAATGGATTTTTGATCCATAGATATAACGATGCTGAATTCATTTGTATTTATTCTTCACTATCTTTTGCCCGCGACTTCGTCCGCGTGGCAAAGGTACTTTGAGCATTTCCAACGAAATATTCATTATATCATGTAAAATACGTGAAATAAAGATTCATCCTCTATTTTATCCCCTTAATGGTGGAATTGATCAATCCTTTCTAGGGTATGCCTACGTCATAGTAGCTTTATGCATGCAAAGTCTTAGCCCGATCGGTTTAAAATTAACAAAATTTTATACAAACTTTCATCCCCTATTTTATCCCCTTGGGGGTAGAATTGATCAAAATCCTTTCTTAGCAGATCATAAAACGTCATAAAATCTACCTGCATGCTAAATTTTAGCCCAATCCGTTCAGTGATTTGCGCTGTGCGTTGATAGATCACTATGTCAGTCAGTCACCTTTGAGTTATATATATTTAGATTATAATCATCAGCATATTAGTCAGCATCACTTTAGATTAATCTAAGAGCATCATATTTTTAATGAAATGACAATTATCCAGTACAGCATTGTGAACGCAGTATACGGAATATCACAAACAATGCTCAGGTTCAAAATTAAGTACTTAACTAACAGGTATTATGGACAACAAATACTAACAGGTATTATGGACCATAACACCCAAACCAATGAAGATCCAGAAAAATCAATTTGCGAAATTGACTTGACCGGGATCGAATCCAAGACTTTGATTATGAGGACACATTGAAACCATATCGTGCTATGATCACTCCTCAATGCGGAACTATTTAACGTGCCTATTATAGGAGAAGCATATTAGAAACTGGAATGTTATATATTATCAATATTTGGTCATCCACCCGATGACCTCCTAATTCCTCGGATTTCATTATTTATCATATTTTATTTTCTTATTCTTATTTTTACAGTACCCATAGTTTATAAAGTATAATAACTTCATCTTGCACTAAAGTCCCCAATTAATATTGAGTCCCCAATAACATCGCAATACTTACAACGGCGAACAGGCAACCCACTCGTTAGAGTCACTATATACATACAGACAGACAGTATTCGCGCGGCAATCGGCGCGGTTGGACGTACGGTCATGCGAGGAGCCGCTGGCAGAATGGCCGAACTCGAGTTCGAGGCACCGCTCGCGCAAATCGAAGATTCCGATGATTGTCTTTCCACATCGGATTACCCACAAAAGACAATCAACGGCAATGACATCCACCTCAACAACATCAACAATTTAAAAAGTGAAATGGTCAAAATGAAAACGGACTCGAATAAAATAAACGATAACGATGAACCAAAACCGGTGAAGTGCAAACAGGACAATATGCAGAACGGCGAAGGTGATAACTTCACGGAGACTTTCTCTGGGTCGCTCGAAGATTTGGTGAATACATTCGATGAGAAAATCACTAAGTGTTTCGGGAACTACGAGGAGAGTGTGGAGAAACTGGCTCCTGTGCAAGTTCGCTCACAGGAAGAGATAATGAACGAATGCCAGTGAGTATTCATTAGCACCAAATAAACATTTAATTAGTAATTAGAGCGGTATAATTATGATATCATCAAGTGTTAGATCATTCGCACTCATATATTTACTAGCTAAAAGTTTACAGAAAAAGGAAGATTTTTAATATGATTCAGTCAATTGAATTCTCGTTGGATTGCATAAATAAAATGTAGTTTTAGGAATATAAACAAAAAGGGCGGGCTTTGCGCATGGCACTAGCGTTCTGCGGATCGATCGAAGGTTGAAAGAGGGGTGGTAAATTAAGGGGTGCGTATCACGGTGGGGGTGGCATTGGGTGACGCATCCACCGCCGTACACCCTACCCACTTCGCCCTGTTTTTTGTTACCAACAGAAATGGCATTCTGAGCAATCGACACGCAATTGACAAATAGACATATCAAATAAATTTAAATATTACACGCAACCTTTAGAAATATCGGAATAGCTGTAAAATATCTATCATTTATTAGACATTTATTAACAAACCAATAAGGATACGTGTGAAACTCGTACATTATACACTATTCTAAAATTATAATGTAGGTTTAATCTGAATCTAAAAATTATGCAATTTCTCACATTTGTTTATTGTCTTCTTTATTTTCAATGTGTTATAAAAAGAAAGCTATGCGTTTTATTTCTCTTGCGATCTCATGGGAAATCTTGATTGTGGTAGTCTTTAAATATATTTTGATTGTAGAAAATAATTTTACCAAGACACAATTAATTGTTTGAAAAAAGTATGTTATATATTTTTCACAAATTTTATTCTTTGGACTACCTATGTCAAGCTGTAACATTTGGAAACGATCCAGATGACCTGAATGCCAGAATATCGGGGGAAGCAATAAATTTTGTTTTACACAAGAATTAATTTGCAAGTATTAAAAGGAACGGCGTTGTAAAGTGCAAGGAGATAATTGAAGCTTAAAATGGCGCATATGAACCTACCTATTTTTAAATCAATTCCAAAAAACATTGACTCTAAGTGGACACAAAAGAACTAAAGAGGTTTTAACAAGAGTAAATTCTTAATCAAAAGATGCCACTTTATTGTAAAAGTTCTTAAACGTATCCCATCTCAGGGTGTTAGGGACCAAGTGGAGTTTTTAAGCATTTTGTATTAAGAATATATTTCAGCATAGCATTGTGAACGCGAAATTAATCAAATATAATAATTAGAACAGATTCTCATCCTTATCGAAAGTTTTAATATTTGTAATAATATTTCTTTCGGCTGTTTGGGTGGATGCCTGAACATTTAAGAGAATACGCTCTGTAGTAGCGAAAAGTAACAAGTGCTTGAAAGATTTGTCAACCCTGTTAGGTCCTGGGTAGCTCAGCGGTTAGAGCAGTCCAGCCCGCCCGGATTGCGAAAGGTCGCGGGTTCGTATCCCATCTCAGGGTGCCAGGGACCAAGTTGATTTTATAAGCATTTTGTATTAAGAATTTATTCATTTGAAGTTGAACATATTTTATGTTCACATCTGTTGGCTTTGTATGGAATATAAAAATAGGTCTTCTATAAAATTTACATAAAAATACGACAGGTGCTTTGATTCCGGCCGTGATTCGTAAGTGGACGTCGTCGCAGATGCGTTGGCCACCTTGTGTCCCTCCTCAATCCTTGCATTATGAACCACCTTGCCGAATATCGTATTACAAACATATGGCTGTTTTGTTTTTTGTCAGGTGAAATGTTTAAGCCTGAATTTATTTAAGAAATGACGAGAATTAAAAGGAAACTAAAACTACAGTAAAATATAAGTCTTGAAATTTTAATTTCAAATTTGAAACATATGACATCCACAAAGAATACGAATACGCATTCATCCTAAAGATCATTATTCCTTTTTGAACGTGAAAATAACATAGGAAAAAAATACACATAAAATCGATTATATTTGGTAAAGCTAATTCGACACCTACCACCTACTAATTTATTTGGCATATCCAAATAAAAAACTGCAATAAAGATAAAAAATTACTTAATTATTCTTTAACATTTATAATTCTCATAAGTAAGTACATAAATTATATTTATAAACTAAATATTAAAATTCCTAGTATTATTCTCCTGTTTCTTGCACTTCCGATTGAAATTCGATATAATGAAGTCTGATTTTGATTCTTTACTGCACTTAGTATTCATGGCAAACCTGAATTACAATGGGTCATGGCACACGCCGCACGTCTGCCCGCTTCAAGCTTTGAATAAAAAATTAACCTACACCCTAATCTTTGCATAATTCTACAAAAAGTTTCTACACTCTTTAGTTATAGGTTGTATTCACAGATCATCGAAAGTTTATGATCTGTGTAAATGTCTCTTCGTAATAAATAACACTAGGTACATGAATTTATCAAAAAAAGAATCGAAGTTTTAATGACTTTAAGCTGTAACTAATGTTCTAAATTTGAAAGTTTGTGCAAGTGGGTGTTTATTTAATAAAACTATACCTAAAATCGATATCAACGTTGAAATTACGACCACATTTTTTACGTAAATTAATCTGTGACCTTACATGTGTGAGGTTACTTGCGTGCTCGAAATTAGATTTCACAACCACAAGGTGGCCGTCTCAGTTTCCAAACGTTAAATGTTATTAGAAGTACACACAAATTGATATCGCGTGTCTATCATTTAACATTTTTAAACGATCTAAAGCCCGTTCTTTTTTTCATTAGAAAAATACGTGATTTTATATCTAATTTAACCGATTTATTGTGAAAATTAATCCTTTGAATATAATTAAAAATAGCTATAAGTAATCAAATCTATTTATTTTTCCTACCATTCGTAAAGCAATTATAATGAACGCTATCAAATATAAATAAAAAAATACAATCAAGTTAATTTACCTACCTGATATATTTATCAAGATCAAAGTCACTCGAACGGTAGTTCTTTTAAAACAATACATTGGAACCTGCAATATAAATTAACTGTAAACAGAGTCTGATTTAAATACAAAAGCTAGTTGTGAATACTGTGTAAAAACATACTAACGGGTGAAGTGTCTCAATTTGCAAGTTTATCACTATTACCCCTGCGGAAACTTGCTCTAGATCTACTAAAATTTGCATGTACTTATTTACCACCGTTGCGTTTACAAAGTCGGCTCTGCGTGCGCTAATTGATTGTCAACGCTTTCTTACCTTCATTATTTTATTCCACGTCGTAACTATCGTTTATTCAAAGTAAATGCGTTGATGTAATTGATAGCTTCACTTTCTTCGCACCGATGTTTTTAAGCGTCGAATAATGTACGTATTTTAACAATTCTATTCCTATATTAAACCTCATTTCTTCTAATTACATTAAACCTCATTTCTTCTAAAAAAGGTTTTATTATGATGATATCTATATATTTATTTTTATCGTAAACAATAAAATGATGTCATCGATTAGTGAATGCTAAAACAATGCATGCGAAGAATGATAACAAAAATATAAGCAAGTAATAATATCATAACAGTAATCTTATACTATCTTCTTTATAATCTTCATGAACATACATCAAGTTTGTTCCGCGGACAAAATAACAAAACAGTTCACATTGATATAAAAACCATTAAAGAAAATCTGTTCGTGAGAACGATATCTCTATTGCTTCTGTCGAGATTTGCCGACATCACTCACGTAACCACGATGTCATAGAGCTAAAGCCAACAAACAGCCCATATGAGACGATCATAATCCATTTGTAACAACCCACGCGTCTTGCGTTTTGTTAAAAGCTGTGTAGATATGGTAAAACGGAACGGTAAAAATATTACTTGCAATTTGGTCGATGACTACAATAGATGCGATCTTTCTTTTGATCAGAGCTGAGTAATTTGGTAAGGTTCATTCTAGGCTGCTTATGACGTTTTTCTTTGCTCTAGTAATGTTTGTAAATAGACTTCTTTTGTGTAGGTTCAATGTGAATACATCAGTTTTGTGGTAGGTTGATGGAGCGAAAGTCCTTTGCTGAGAGCGTCGGGATGTTACCCATCAGTCCCTTAAAGTGGTGGAATTAAAGCCGTAATCTTTGAATCTTAGAGTTGAAAACAATAGAAAGAGGGAGTTGACGATAGAAGGTAGATAAAGGAAGAACCTAGAAGAGGAAGGAAAGCAGCAGGAAGAAAATTTGAGGATGCATTTAAATGTTTGAGAGCCGGTATGCACAGAGTGCATTGTGCCTCTATCTGGCATTCATTATTGCAACCATCAATATTTTTTAGGGTTCCGTAGTAAACAAAGAACCCTTATAGTTTCGTCATGCCATGTGTATCCGTTCGTCCATCAAAGCTTTAGCTCAAAAACTATTAGCACTAGATATTTGTAATTTGACAAGAGTATACGCGTTAATTACGACGACAAAGTGGTAAAGAAAAATTAAAAAAAAAAAATTAACGGTTACTCCCCTTCATGTAATGTGGGGATGATAGATAACTTATTTCTGCGTCTTCCTCATAGTATGGGACATCGTTGGATAGGTCTTTCAAATACATTGGGGATGTGAGGGAAGGCTATTTTTGATTTAGTAAACCGTTTGTGACTTATGGTTTAAGTAGGTAATTTTCGTTAGAGGTAAGTGTCCCCCCTCTACCAACTGAACGGTCATTGGTAAAAATTCAAACGTTACGATAGTAGTACCTATATATAACGAAGTTAAAAGTAAAACTATCACACTTAAGTTAGCTTTACAAGTTTACGAAAAATAGTCGACCGATTTAATTTTTAGAAAAACTCCATAGAAAACAACAACGTGTTTGTTTACTTATTTAATGGTAGGGAACCCTTCGTGCGCGAGTCCAACTCGCACTTGACGGTTTTTTTTAATATGTATATTGATAAATGTTACTTATACAACACTTCTATATAAAATCGCTAATGAAGATTGTATTATGCCCATCTCTGCTTATTGTGCAATCTCTGAAATGTTTACATTATTAACATTAATATTACGATCTCATCATACATAATGTATGAACTACCGACTC